TAAAGCCACAAGCGCGCAGCACGAGTGGCTTTAAACCTAATAAAACATGACCTGCGAGTTTTTTAAATGGCTTCAAAAACGTTTGCATAATAAGTCAAATCTTTATATAAGAATCTTTATATAGTTTGCATAACAATGGTCTTTTGTTAAAGTGTTCTTTAGCTGGTATAAAGACGTATGCACGTGACTAATTTCTTACTCAAGATTGGATAATTGCTTCATGAATTATTAATGAGTTTTTGAAGTACTATTTAAAAAACGAGCAGGAGTGTTTTATTAGGTTTAAAGCCACAAGCTTTAGACCTAATAAAAAACGACCCGCGAGTTTTTTAAATGACTTCAAAAACGTATGCATAACAAGTCAAATCTTTATATAAAAATCTTTATATAGAAATCTTTATATAGTGGTATAAAAAACTGGTATAAAGACGTATGCACGTGACTAATTTCTTACTCAAGATTGGATAATTGCTTCATGAATTATTAATGAGTTTTTGAAGTTAACTTTGATATCCACGGTTGTAAAGACAGCTGCATCTGATGCTTGTCTTAATGTGTGATATCTGTTGCTGAATGATTCATCACAATCAAAATCCAGCTGTGTTGGGGTGATTCTGCTTTTTTTTGTGGATGGTGTATTCCTCTTTTGATGATGCAAGCTTATTAGGGCTCTTCACAGCTGATGATATTTGTAAAGAAGAATCCTTGTCTTGGCAATGTTTCAAATCACAGTGCTTTTCAGGGGCATAGCAGACAAAATTAACAGTCTCACTTGTCAAAGTCTGTATGTGAAGGTTGAAGTACTTTGTTTTTCCATTAGCTGACATATTTATCTCACTAAGCTAGAGATGGACATATCCTTTTAATATGTGGGAATTGCCTTTAAAATTAAAAGATATAATTACTTTCCAGTTTTGCTGTTCAAACTGATTTGCATTTCTTACTTACTTACATACTGAATACAAGCAGTCATTAATTTTACTGCCCTAGTTATAATATAGTCAAAGAGGTCTGCATATTATATGTAGAGATGAGTACTGTTATGATCATAATCACATAAAATTAGTTACATTTTCTCGGTGGGGGTGGGAGCAGTTGGCCCTTGCTTGTTTGACTTTAAAATCTTATTTGCCATCATATTTATTATAATAAGTGATGAAGTATTCCAATTGTTCCATGCCATCTTCATTATTCAGTTCCTTTCACGAAAATACAACCTGGGAAGATTATAGAAGCAGATACATTTCTTTAATCCATGTTTCTTCAATAAAACTAAATAAAATAATCCACCACTTACCCAGGCAAATCAAATAACCTATTAAATCTGTTGATTTTATTGTATGAAATGTAGCCTGTGTAGCAGGCTTTAGTGGGGCGGGAGAAGAGCGGGCGTCGTAGAGGAAACGCCTCCCCAAATGGCTATGACTAATGTGTTTTTGCCCATTAAGGGGTAATTGATGATTATAATTAGCACCTTCACCAGTCCACCCATTATCCAATTGTAGTCGCGATTTATATTTAGCATCATGCACTTTTTTTGCTCAGCAACTAGGGAGATTTTATGCTATTTTGGACAACACAGAGCTGTTTTATCCTTTAAAAGGCTCCTGAACCACGGTTGTTTAAACATATTCTGCCATAGCAAATAACAGTTGAGCATGTTTTGAAGTGTTATTCTTAAAATCATTGTCCAACTACATGGCCAATTGATGTAGCCTCAGCTATCTGGTCTTGAATTATACTTTCAAGAGGACAAATATCAAGACAACTATAGGAAATATTCAATCCCTGCTCGTGCTGGCTTTGATTTGGCGATAATGTATAAGTGAATGATCAAACTTTTTCTGTATCCTGTAGCGTAGGAAGAATCGCAACAACGTCCTCCCACATAGCATATCAATAATAGACTTTCTCTGTTCTGGTTAGACCAGGAAAGACCAGGTTGAAATATTTCCTCCAAAGCATTAACATTAACAGCCATATTTTTTATGAGAATATATACGCAGGCAAAATTATTGTTGACATTTGAGTTACATAATTACTTCTGTCAACGAGATTGACCAATGGGAATTAAGCTGAAGTTTTTCGGTCAAAAATTGACAGTTTCACATTTACATTTCGCCACATTGGCAGCTGTCAGTAACTGCAAGCTGACTTTTGTGTACTATCAAGTTATTTAATAAAAAAACTATTAGGATGGATAGGGATTCCACTACCTGAAAAATATGTCTTCTATGTCATTCTCTTCCATCGCATACGAGAGCTCTTGGCTGAGCTAACTGCCTCGCAACTCGCAAGTTTCTCTTGTGTGTGGACAACCTCGTACCCAGAAATTCATGTTGCGAGGCCTTAAAGAAAATATTAATAGCTATTGTGTGTTATTTTGCGAGCTATTAGGTTAGCTGTGAATATATAGTAGCCAATAGGGGTGCACCGGAACTTGGTTCAACCCCGGAACTAATATAAAAAGCATGGCCGGGACCAGAACTCTGTCGTTTTCAGAGAGATAGAATATCAAATGTTTTTGTGTTGAACAAAAGTTCACAGTAGGAAGAAATTTGGACTACGCAAGGGAAATGTACACTATTAACACTTCATTATGATGTTTAACGTTTGTCAATCTTTTTATTCTAAAATTTGTGAGCTCTCTTGATGATTAGAAGTGTCTGACTGTCCGACAGTGAACAAAGTAACATATGACTATATATGGCTTAATAAATCAGTTCCGGTTCCGGCTGGAATTTTTTTCCAGTTCCAGTCAGATCTAGTTCCCGGCCGGAACGTACAAAATTGGTTCCGGTGCACCCCTAGTAGCCAATAAGAACACATCTCTGATTCTCCATGGCGATATGAATTATGTAAATAATGAATACAAGAATACAAATTTATGGTTCTCAGGTTTCATGGCTGTAATTTGATGTCCTTGCGACCTTGGATGCAAGTTTTGCTCCATGTTGTTTGGTATTCAGTTCTTAAACGACTTCACATCAATAGAATGAAAAGAAAGGTAATTTGGTGAAGAATTACATTCAAGCGAAGTAAAATATCAGCTAAGCACCTTAGTATTACTTACTAAGTACTGTTTAATAAACTAGCAGGAGTGTTTTGTTACTAAAAATTCAATAGATATACTGCCTCATTAATATTCTTTATATAAAGAATAAAAATTAGGAGTATTTTATCAGGTTTTGCCAATAAGCTTATGAATTATTAATGAGTGTTTGAAGTACTATTTAAAGCATGCGTAGGAGTGTTTTATCAGATATAAAACACTTGAGCTGTATATGTCTGATAAAGCACTCTTGCTCGTGTTTTAAATAGTGCATACCACACTCACTGTATAGTTGAGGTCTTGTGATAGTTTGAAGTAATGTTTGTGGTCTTTAACTCAATTCGATCCGGCATTATAGATTTCCGTCAAATATGACAGGAAGAGTAAATATTGAAAAATACTATACACTCGAACAATGTAAAATAGCCACCATAAAATATAAACTAATGATACTCGAGCCATACCTACATACTCGAACAATGTAAACAATGTATCACTAAACTTTGGCCCCTTTCAATGTGTCTTTTTCGTAATAGTCTTGTTTGTTTGGGTATTTCAAAATATCTAATTTAAACTGGAAGTTCAAATATTCGAAACAATGCAGTGTTTACATCCAAGCACTCTGGAAATGTCGGAAATCGATTCTAAAGGTTAAAGTTCCCCTGATCACGTCCAGTTGGGCCAGGAGTGCTCCTTATTGGCCACATGCGAGTAAAAACCGTATATTTTGAAAAATTGAAAATAAATATTTCTACTCGTATTCAAATGAAACATTCGACATTACATTTCCACTACAAAGTCGGAAATGTAAATATAAACAGGATGAGAATGAGTTAATATAGTGATACAGTGTAGTGAATATATCGTTGTTGTGTAATTAAAAGCATTGAATAATCTGTGTTGTATTAAAATCATTGGCTGATATTGTGGTCTAGTGAGAAGGTTCCAAAAATGGGTACAACACAAGGTCACAACACACAGACTAACTATTGTTTGATGACGTCAGGTGTGGGGTTGCCTTATTAAATTACTTCTAAGTTACGGAGTGAAAATCATGGTTTAAAATTTGAACTAACAACCAAATATGAGTTTCAGGTTCATATTGATCACTGCCTGTCAATATAAAACTTATGTGACCCCACTTGTGACGTAATATGCATATCCTTGATAATCCAAGATGGCAAACAGCTCATTGTTTTCAGTCAAAATATTTCAAGAGTTAAACTTGATATGAAAAATCTGTAACAAGATGTTATAGATAATTTTAAGCATTCTTTCAAATGAGACATTTGGAAATAATTCATAATTGGAAATTGACCTGAGAGATGAATGTAAACAAGGCAAGAGTTCAATACAGTTTGAATTTGCATTATAAAGGACAAAATTATCAATAATATGGTGAGGGTTGGTTTTGTAAAATGGCCATTATATTTTATAAAGCATACTGTAGTTTAAAAGCAGGATTGTTAACTACAATTGGTCCAAATCATGTGCTAGTTTCACAAATCATATTCCAGCTTGTCTTCACAGTATGGGGCATTGTTGGGGGGTTCCGAATTATGTTTTGGATGTGTATGTATGTCAAAAATCTTCTGATGCAGGGCCTATTTTAGTATGCAGTATTGCACACTTTGTGCAGTATTGAATAAAAAGTGTGCAGTATTGAATGAAAAAATGTGCAGTATTGAAATTTGAAGCTTGAAATAAATTTAAACATTGTATTATATGTGCTGAAGGAGCGAAGTAGATGAAATATAAAGTCGAGAATTCCAAAATGCCTTTGCAACAAATTGAGCAAAGGCACAAACAAAGATTGGCCAAATATAAACCAAGTTCTAGTGATAATTCCAATATTCAATATTTTCTGTCCAAAAAAGCCAGTGTATTTCATGTAAGCTTAACCCTAATACAAACTCCCCCCAGGTCCAGTGTTTTTATCACGTCTAAGATGGCGGAACTCTCAAGGATTTATGTTAATATTTATGTATTGCACTTCCGTAAGTTCACTCTGTATTAATTTTAAACAATGAGTGAAACTTGTAGTATATGCAAATATGTGGAACGGCCAACGTATCATCACTGCAATGTATGTAACAATCCAGTGCATAATATTTTGTGCACGACACTTCTGTCCGATAATGAATGTGATACAAGAATTTGTAACACGTGCTCATGAACTGTGCCCAAGAAAAAAGTCGGAAAACACCACTTATGTGACTCGACAGAGCCGCAGAAAGGTATGTCCAAGAAGAGTAAGACAATTCAGCCTACACTGAGTTGTAATGTTTACAACATGAGCGGCCGTGTTGTATCAGATATCAATTGTATATCCGATACAACACGGACGCGAATGTTGTAAACAACTTAAAAAACGACTCATCTTATGAGTTCATTGGCGAAGTAATTTTAAAAATAAATTTTGTCTAAGCCGAGAAAATCAATGTTAAAATTTATGTAAATCAACATGAATCTGTATCACATATACAGATACGACACGCTTATGGATTTTTCTTTGTGTTTTCTTCATGAATTATTAATGAGTTTTTTAATACTGGAAAGAAAAACAAAAGAGAACGGGGAAAAGAAAGAAATTGGTGGCTCTTCTGAAAAAACTAGCCTTAAAGAAAAGAAAGAAGAACCTAAAAGCTTGAAACCAATTGAAGTGCATGATTTTCATTTTGGTAATAAAAATATTAATAGTCAATCATCCAGCTCCAGCAGCTCTTTGTCCTCGTCATCACTAGTATCATTTTCCAATGTTGGCAATTCACTTAGGCTATGTGCTTCCACTTCAAACTCTTCTAACACTTCAAGTTCTTCAAATGAAGATGAAATCATCAAGGACTCATGTTTTGAATACTTCAAGAGAGAGTCAAAAGGGAGGAACTATGTCCGATGCAATTTATGCCATAAGCAAAAGGCAACAGCTAAAGCATTTAGGAACTCGAAGAGAATTCCAGCTATATGCACTTTGGAGGGAACCATCCCACGGAAAGTGATCTTCATTCATCACCTGGAAAGTGAAATGCACAAAAAGGCTGTTGAAGCTAAAAAAATATCACACTTTAGTTCACCAGAAAAAGTTGGGAAAACGCAATTGGGTAGCATAATAAACAAATCGAATGCTCGGTTGAAGAATAAAGTGGCTGGGTTAATGATCAACTTGTTTAACGATGCAAAAAAGCTAACCCTTTCAGCTTGGAGCTGGCCTTCAAGAGAAGTTGCAAATATGATGTCAATTGCAGTTGATGTAAACACAAGATTTTGAGACATTTGGCCCTTCTAATTCAACATTACAATATGTCACATCAACTCAGCACAATAACTTCTTAAGCTGTATTGTTCTGGCTGACAAAACCAGAATCAACGCAAAAATAGAGAACAGCTTGGCGCTATCATTAAGATGCGATTCTTCAGTTGATAGGAGGAGAATCGACAACTGTCATGTTCTTGCAAATATTATAGATCAAGATGGCAAGCCAGAACTACTGTTTTTGGGTCTCGACGAACCAAAAGCTAGAGGGACACCAGGGTACGTTCAGGCTGTAAACGATGCAGTTAATCTAACATCAAGTTGGTCTGATGTAGCAAGTAAAATGACATTTATTGTAACAGACAGGACAAATTTGAACACAGGAGATAAAACTAGTCTCTGGGCATCCTTAACATTGGAGCGCAAAGCATATGGTTTGCCATTGTTAATGGTTTGGTGTATTGCCCATCGAACTGATCTTGCATGGAAAGCAGTATCAAATAATGTTTCCCGAGGTGAAGTTTCTTTTCTCTACAATAGTTGCAATTGCATCATATTTCCATTCCTCAGGAGTTCGATCTAGAGAACTTCGTGAAGTGGCAGAGACAAATGGATTCCAGCTCCGTGAACTACCAAAACTTTTTGAAGTACGCTGGAGTGAATTTAATTAATCTCTTTTGGAGTCTATATTGGTCTCTTGGAGAGCACTAGTAACTTATTTTGGAAAGATGCACGATGCAGCTTCACAGGGATATCATGCGTTTCTGACTAAATTGGAAAATTTGAAGCTGTTGGTTTTTGTAGCTGATTTGCTCTTCGTGTTTTCGAGGTACCACAAGAAGATTCAGTCGGAATACTTTAACATTACTGACTTGCCTGACTGGAAGTCAGATGTGATGAGAAGGCTTGATGATCTCCAACATTCACCGGTCCTGGGTGGCTGGGAATCGGAGTTACAACAACAGTATCAACCAGAAGACAACCTTTTTATGGATATTGAGCTTAAACGCGTAACAGAAAGCCAAAGAAAAGAGCATCACCTGTATGTCAGTGAAACTACACGCAATTTTGTAACTGTACGATCTGAAGTCTTAGAGTCTCTAAAAGCATTTTTGACTCAAAGGCTTTCATTTGATGAGGACATCCAGAAGTTGCTGAAGTGCTTCATTTCATTTCAAGCAAAAGATGACGATCTTGTAATGGTGCATCAGAAAATTGCTTGTGACCTACAATTGTCGAATATTTCTGAAGAATATCGTGATGCGGTTCGATTACTTGGATCAAAATCATTGTCCTTACTGGAGAAAGTTGAAATGCTTGCACAGGCTCAAAGTGACTATGGTAGCTTAGCAGTTGTTTTCGCAAGGATTGCAGCCTGTATGCCACATTCAGCAGATGTAGAAAGGCTGATTAGCTTGTATAACCAGCTCAAGACATCCGATCGCTCCTGTCTAACAAATGAAACCGTTTCGCACTATTTGTACGTCGACCTAAATATGTCTGTTTTAGCAGAGTTCAACCCAAGCCCGGCAGTAGAATATTGGTGGAAGCAACGCTCCCGTCGATCTGTGGAGCCAACAAAGGCTAAAGAACAAGAATGGTTTCTGAAAACCTTCAGTGAAGCATCAGAAAAGATGAAAGAAAGAATGTCAAAACACAAGGACAGATACAACGATAATTTTAAACAATTGTCAAGCAATAAATATTTGTTGTGTTATTAAAACATTTAAAAATCGGGTAGATTTTGTCATATTTCATGTTGTCATATTTCATGTTGTCATTCTACAGGGTGTCTCAAAAAAGTATACCCCTTCAAATTTAAATTAAGAGACATTGAGGATCATTTGTGTTGCATCAGCGAATTACTACAAGAGGTTATGGTTGATTTGAATTTGAAAGGGTTCACTTTTTTTGAGAAACCCTGTATGTTGTCATTATGCTTTATATAAAAACGTAAAAAATCAAAGATGACGTCACAGGGTGACGTCATTGATGACACCTGCTCTGAAGTGTGCAGTATTGAAATTTCCTTAGAATAGCTAGGCCCTGTTCTGATGTTTTCATATCTACAGTATGCTATGCTTGATGTTTTCCAGGCTGGGTGTGTGCTTGTACACTAGATAAAAATTGTCAATTTGATATTTTGCCTGGCAATGGGATGTGATTGCATGCCTATCTGTTGGTACATGTCGCATATTATCATTAGCAAATAAATGCCATATTATATTAATATTAGAATTTGCTTTGTTTTTATCGATTGCTTAATTTTCATTTTCGTGTAGTGTATGTCAAAAAACTTTAATCCACACTCAATTAAAATAAAATTAAAAATAATTTAATTTAAATAATAATTTAATTTACATGCCTGGCATTTTCGCACGTGAAATTGCACATTTAAAACGTGACAAATTTTTCCTAAACTGTGTGATAATTTTGGGAGCTTGGTAGCAAATTTAAAAATTGCTCAAATTGTGTGAGCTAATTTTTGTGCATGTTTTCCTTGAGGATTATTTGAGGCTAATAGGGAGACAGATGGTCTCTCATGTTTCGCCACTGGCCCGCTTCTTGCTTGAGGCATTTGAGCGAAATGGCGTCTTTTGTTTGAAGTTGAAAAAGTGCAACAACTTTGGCTTGTATAGGCTGTGTTGCACAAGCTTATTTTCATTTTGTTTTTGGTTCCTGTATAAGACAAGATATCTATTTAAGTTTGTATGTTTTTTTGTTTTTGACAAAATGTGCTAGAAAAGATAATATTATACCTTTTACAGAATATTCAGTGTTGCATAGTATATGCGAAAGACACAGTTAGGCTTTTGCAGTTGAAGAGGAGAACAAAAATGCAAAATATACAGCTCAGGAGCTATAAGCGATTATATTCCAAGGTAAGAAAGGTTTTTCATATCTTTTGTATTTTTCATAATCGAGGTTCTGAATTATCATGGTCTTAATTTTACTGAAACAGTAATCAATATATATCCTCATATTATGAACTAAGCCCATTTTGATTGTGCTATAATTCAGGTTTATTCTCATCGTAATGATGAATTATTTGCGCACAATTAAGTGTTTAAGTTGCTTTAGAGTTTTGCAAATTATACTAACCCATCAGACCAGCTAATAGTCTGTTTTATATCACTTATAGTACATCTATTTTTAAACTATACACTGTGGACTAAGCTAACCCAATTATGAGCTTCAAGATCAATAAGTACTCAAATTTTGTGGTAGACAAAATTGATGAACTCCCAGAAAGCAAGCTATCGCTGGCAGGAATAGGACCTGATCGGTTCAGATCATTACTGGAAGATTGTGACTGGAAAAACCAGACAAGGAGATAGTGGTCCGACTGCCATTCAAACGAGGCTTGGTTGGGTTCTCTCTGGGCCTGTTGGAAACGAACCGCAGCAATTAACCCACACCAATTAACCCACACCAGCAATCTTGCTACAATCCACACCCTCAAATGTGCCTCCGAAGAAGTTGAGTGTAAGAATGATGTCCTTGTACAAGAACTGAAGAGATTTTGGGACTTACAAACTCTCGGTATTCAACCACAGTGTGTGTACGAAGAATTCCTATAAAGCATTAAGTATGAAAATAATCATTATGTGGTCAATTTGCCATGGAAACCTGATCATGCTGAACTGCCTTATAACTATGATCTTAGCAAGAAACGTCTATTAGGGTTGCTGAAGCGACTGCATGAGCCAGAAGTCCTTAAGGAATGTGACAATGTGATAAGAGATCAGCTTAACAAAGGAATCGTGGAGTCTGTGCCCGAACCAAATGAAGGAGCCAAGAGAGTGCACCATTTACCTCATCACGCAGTTATCCATCGAGATAAGGCCAAATTGCGAGTAGTGTACGACGCCTCGGCGAAGTCAAGAGAACCTTCGCTTAATGACTGTCTGTATAGTGGTCCCTCGCTGACTCAGAACATTGTTGACATCATCCTAAGGTTCCGTGCACACAAGGTGGCCTTAACGGGAGATATCGAGAAGGCCTTTCTCATGATTCATGTAGCAGAGTCTGATAGGGATGCATTGAGATTTCTGTGGTTCGATGATATACACAGCCCAAACCCTAAGATTATCCCACTTCGATTCACCAGAGTAGTGTTTGGCGTATCCTTCAGTCCTTTTCTACTAAATGCCACAGTCAAACACCACATCGAGCAATACCGGGAAGATGACCCTAGTTTCGTGGAAGCTGTTCTGAATTCGATCTATGTGGATGATCTTATATCCGGAGGTGAAAATGTGGACAATGCATTCAAACTCTATGAAGATTCGAGGAGCCAATTGGCAAAGGCTAACTTCAATTTGCGAAAGATTACCACAAACTCTAAAGAACTCCAAGAGCATATATGCCAAACCAACCAACTAGTGACAGTGAACAATGCATCTGACGGAAGTAACATGGCCAGAGCTGATAGCAACAAGTCCCAGCAGTTGGTTCAGGAGGAGCAGTCATCTTACACCGGAAGTATGTTGGGTCCTCCCCTTCCAGCAAGCGATGACAAGCAGAAAATTCTCGGAATCTTATGGGATTCTTATGAGGACAATCTTATTGTTGATATCAAGGATGTTGCAGATTTGGCGCAGATGGTTCAAGCTACGAAGAGAAATGTGATCAGTGTTTCTTCCAAGATTTATGATCCTATGGGGTTAATATCCCCATTGACAATCAATTTCAAGCTGTTGTTTCAAGAACTTTGTCTGGCGAAGGGTGACTGGGACCATCCACTTGAAGGAACACTGAAATGCAATTGGCAGAAATTAGTTGATAACCTACAGGACGTCCAACCTATCGTTATTCCGAGATGCTATATTTCTGACATACACGAGCAAGTTGTATCCTACAAGCTTCACAGGTTTTGCGATGCCTCTATCAAAGCATATGCTGCCGTAATATACCTCAGAATCATCACACCAAATGCCTCTTATGTCCAGTTGGTGATATCAAAGGCAAGAGTGGCACCCTTGACTAAACAAACGATCCCAAGGTTGGAGTTACTGTCAGCGCTCGTGCTTGCCAGATTAATGACTGTTACTCAGAAAGCCTTGAAGTCTGTGATTGAAATCTCGAAGGTGCAATGCTGGACGGATTCTAAGGTTGCATTATATTGGATTACGCAGCAAGAGAAGGAATGGAAACAATACGTACAGAGTCGAGTGGAAGAGATTAGAGCGCTGGTTCCTGTAGACATTCCATCACGTGGTATCCTGCCTACTCAACTAGCATCATCTACATTGTGGTGGTTAAACAGGAAGATCCTCCAACAAACTCGGAAGTTACAAGCACCGACATCTAATTAGCTCGAGTTCTATGGATCAAGGAACTGCAGGAAGAAATGAAGTTGAATGAGAAATTCAAATCCTGGAACCGAGACCTCGGCCTGTTCACTGATGAAAATGGAACCGTCCGATGTAAGGGACGACTATCTAACTCGAACTTGCCATATTCAGCAAAGTATCCAATCCTGTTAGATACGGCTCATTACCTTACCACGCTTAATCGTACGGAATTGTCACGAGCGGGTAATGCATGGGGGAGTAAAGGCAACATTGACAGAACTTCGGTCGAAATTCTGGTTAGTCCGTGGAAGGAACTCTGTAAGAAAACTCCTCTTCAATTGTGTCACCTGCAAGAAGCAAGATGGTAGAGCATACAAGGCACTTAACTCTCCGCCATTGCCAGAGTTTAGAGTAAAGGAAGCACCACCGTTTACGTATGTTGGCTTAGACTACGTCGGTCCTTTATATGTGAAATCTACAAACGATTTAGATGAGAAAGCATGGATTTGTTTGATTACCTGCTGTGTTTCTAGAGCGGTACACCTTGAAGTTGTTCCCAACATGACATCACAAGCCTTCCTGGGGAGTTTTAGGAGATTTACGTCACGATGTTCGACGCCTTTGCTTGTCGTTTCGGACAACGCGAAAACCTTTAAGGCTGCGTCCAAAGAGTTAATGACACTCATGCGTGATCCTCAAGTGAAGAAATATTTCTTGCAGCAACGAATGCAGTGGTCGTTTAATCTGGAGAAAGCCCCGTGGTGGGGAGGTTTCTTTGAGCGGCTTGTGGGATCATTGAAACGATGTTTGAAGAAAACCATCGGAAAGGCAAGATTGTCTTATGACGAGCTAGTTACAGCTGTCACGGAAGCAGAATCGATCCTGAACAGTCGACCCTTATCCTATGTATCCTCCGAGGACGTCGAGGAACCCCTCACCCCAGCCCATCTTCTGAGCGGAAGATGGATCCTGAGTTTACCTGATCGTCATCGAGAGAACCCTGAAGATGAAGATTTTCAAGTCGACCTATCGACGAATGACCTCAACAAACGAGTTCGCTATCTAAATGACATTATTCAACACTTTTGGCGAAGATGGCGGAACGAGTATTTGGTAGAGCTGAGAAATGCACGTTAGATTCCTAAGCAAACAGTAGAGAAATCTTCTGTGGAAGTTGGAGATATAGTACTAGTTCACGACGAGAACCATCCGCGTAGTTTCTGGAGAATTGGAAGAATAAAGGAACTTGTCAATAGCACGGCTGATGGGAAATCAAGAGGTGCAGTTGTACAAGTCATGAGCAAGAAAGGGAAAGTTACTACATTAAGGCGTCCATTACAGCTGTTATATCCTATGGAGATTAACTGTAAACTTGCGAAAGAAGAAGTACAATTGGAACAAGAGAATGGTGCTCAGGAGTCAACTGAATCCGAAAGACCAAGAAGAAGAGAGGCGATCGAAGGTGAACTGTTGATAAGACATTGGATTAAGGACATGAACCAGGTTTAGGGTAGTTGTAGATATACTGCATAGTGTTATATAATTAAGAACTTTCCAATGAAGCTTCACGAACAGTCGTAAGGTGTTGGCCATATAAGATACATGTCCAACAGGGGGAGTGTGACGTATGCTTGTGTTTTGTTGAAATTATCGTTAGGGTTCGCTGTGGCATAATCAATATAATATATGCAAAATGGCGCGTAAAGAAACGTTTTCTGTACGTTGAGATGTAATATGTCTTGTGTAATATGTTCAAATTTGTCCTGAGTTTATATTAAATATTACGATAATACAGTCCATCGAAGTTTTTATAACAAAGACATAATGCAATATAGTAATTGAAATTGCAAGAATTATGTAAAGGTAATTAACTGAGTAATCTTGATAGAGTTATGAAATTTTTTTTAGACACGCGCAACTAACTACAACCGTGACTTGCACAGGTCGCTGACACGCTGTAGATCTTGCGCGGTAATGGAAAAGGGCGTTAAGGAGTGGGGAAGGGAGACAAATAAGGAAAGAGACGTTTTTACATTATATTGAACTACCTAAGTCACAGTCTCACAGAGATATGAATTTCTGGAGAATTATTATTTGTTTAATTAAAAACGAAGAGTATCTGACTGGTATAACACAATAACTAAGGAGTTCGGAATTTTTAAAAAACTATTCCTAACTGCCGTTGCTATGGCAACAATGACGTCACAACATGGCGGATATAGTTTATGTTTAATTAAAGTAACTTAACCAGTTATTATTAGAGTTCACTGAACTTAACTCGAAAAAAGGTCAGTTACCCCTATTTTTTATTTCATAAAATAATTTCTATTGGAATTTTTAATTCTAATTAAAAAAAAATTCTGTCGTGTCGAAATTTTTCAAGATAGGAAAATGTGATCATGAAAATTCGTAATAATTTTTTTGCCATTACAGAATTTTTTAAAATTAGAACAATAATTCAAAATTCCAATAGAAATTATTTTATGAAATAAAAAATGTGGATAACCGACCTTTTTTTCGAGTTAAGTCACTTTAAACATAAAATATCCGCCATGTTGTGACGTCATTGTTGCCATAGCAACGGCAGTTAGGAGTAGTTTTTAAAAATTCCGAACTCCTTAGTTATTGTGTTATACCAATAACACAATCTGTTGCAATTGGACCTTTCAGGCCTTCATAATTGGAGTAATGACTGGGGCATGACGTTCAACCCATCCAAGTGCAAAGTGATGCACATGTCTCGGAAAAAGGTCTGCTCCTCTGCTTCACTCCAATACCACCTGAACGACAAGCCCCTAGAAAGTGTGACACACATCTCTGACCTGGGTGTCATCGTATCCAAAGACCAAAGACTCTCCTGGGCTAATCATATTGAAGACATACTGTGCACCAAGGCCAATAAAACCCTTGGTCTAATTAAGCGGGGGGGTGCTAGAGACGTTGTGGATGCCAATACGCGGAAGCTTCTCTATTGTGCTGTTGTACGACCTAAGCTTGAGTACGCGTCGTGTGTGTGGTCACCTTACTCGGCTAAACAACGTAAATTGATAGAGAACGTTCAACGCAGAGCAACGAAATTCATTCTGAACTACCCTCCTCGTGATGTTACCTACAGAGACAGACTAATATCCTTAAACTTTCTCCCACTTGAACACAGGCGTGAACTTTATGACCTAACACTATTACACAAAATCAAATACAACCTTATTAATGTCACCTTTAACCAATACCTTACACCTGAAACTAACCCCTATGCCACACGCAACTTCGACCCTAACAACTATAACATAATCGTCTCCAATAATCAAGAATTCTTCCGACAATCCTATTTCCAGCGCACCGTCATTCTCTGGAACAATCTACCACCAAACATCAAAGCCGCCCATTCCCTACAGATCTTCAAGCACCATCTACAACTGATCTTATTACAAAGCCAAACTGTTTACCTACATACCACCATAGTTAATCTTGTTCTAAAATTCGTTGTACAGTATCATATATGTTAAGTTGCATGTAATCTGTGATATGTTCGTGCATAATTGTCCTATATACTGTAGTACGTCTCGTTATCCATTAATTGTTAAGGGGTCGAATATCAATTGAATTTAGTTTCTGTTTTCTTCTCCTGTCGCAGCATTTTCTAGTTATTGTTATCTCTACGTAAATGTATATCTTTAATGTGTGTGACAAAATGAATAAATAAAATAAAATAAATAAAATACCAGTCAGATACTCTTTGTTTTAAAACAAATAATAACTCCCCAGAAATTCATATCCAAATAGACCACTTCTATACCAACGAAACTGATAAACTGTACCAAACTGTACCATCAATCGCGAGCCACATGGCTTCGGAGATGCAGCGAACGAAGGATCAAGCCGGGGATGTAAACCCACACAGGGCCCCCACACAGATCTTTCCAATTAATCCGATATTGCAACATTATGCAAGATGGTGGAAAGGTCCCACATTATTCTGTTGTGAACGAAGCCTTTGCCCAATACCAATGACACACATATATATCTTATATACACTAGATCAGCGGTGCATCTAATTATTCTGTAATTCAAAAAAATAAGCCGTGCTTGCAGACTCAGGATATTCCCATGAAATGAGAAGATACGCGTATGTCTTCTATTTCTTAAACAGGGAACTTAAACATTAAGTTAAACCTATTCCAAATACTACATTTTTAAACTATTCAAATGATGAAAGTTATTGTTGTTTTTTAAGCGTTTATTAGCGAGTGGGAATTACCAACATCTATTCAAATGGAGTAACCGTTGGAATATTCTTGGCTTCAATTTTACTAAAAGAGATGCGCTATCTAGTGTATATAAGATATATCTATGATTACACAGCGTTACGACCAGTGGCGTAGCCAGCCCGACAATTTGGTCCCGCTATGCAAATTCAAAATTATTATCACTATTCATTTCTTTAGAAATTGATTGTTTTCACAGTCAATGAATACGAAAATATTTGCATAGCGGGACTAAGACCCCGTTTACACGGTACCGGACGAATTTTGGACCGGTCTGAAATTCGTCCTTTTTCGCCTGTTTACACGCGAATTCGTCCTGTTAGGGGGTCTCAAATTCGACCGGTTGCGTGGTTCTCGTGTGTTTACACGGCCGAAACGGCCGAATTTCAGCCTGGTTCCAAATTCGTCCAATCGTCTGGTATGTACCGTGTAAACGCGGGGTCTAAATCGTCGGCCTGGCTACGCTACTGGTTACGACGTAAATAAAGAGGCAAAGAGCTAAAGCATTCTCATAAGGAGGCTAGTTCAAGCTAGTGTGAACATTTCTTGTAATGAACAAATTGCGGAATAACGAAGGCATAATAGAATCAACAGAATATAGCAGCTTCATGCACTAAATTGATTCGCCTGACAGCCTGTGATATGGAATTCATATCCATATCTGAAAGTGAGATTCCTGACTAATCTAAGGGCAAAGAAATAGAGAAACTTAACAGATACTCACTCGAATTTAGGGATTATTTTAAAGACATTTTTTCATGCACTGACGAAACCGATGAAAAGTGACCCAGGTAGGTGATGGGAAATTGCAAAAGACAGAACTTTTCAGGCGGCCTGGGAGTTCTTCTCCTGACTGAACTTTTCGTATTTTTTAGCCTCCGGAGGTTAATTTAATTTCTTGCATTTTCAGCGGAAACAATTTTCGATATATTCCATCTTCAAAGATAAAATATTAGGCCATTTAAAAGCATTGTTTGGTTATGGGAATCTGCACTTTTCCTCGCTTATATTTCAGAAAAAGGTACCTTCACGCAATGGAATAAAACTATGTCAAAACTATGTGAAAACCTATGGAGGGTGATTACCGCCAAAATTTATGTTTGAATTTTGATATTAAAGAATTGAATTTTGATGTTTGCAATTGCATTTGCACTTCTGTTTGCGCATTTTGTCCTTAAACATTCCATTGTGATGACGTAACATTATGCGTGACCCTCAGAACACAATTTTCAACTCGTATTTAATGATAATTTATTTCCTGCAAATAATTTTAATGTTACATGCAATGTGATCATACATATAAATTTACAGTAAACAAGACGCTTGCTAAGCGCTTACTCGAGCTATAGGAGTGTTTTTGCTGGAGTTTTTAGAAGCGGAGAGTTTGTATTTGTAAATTATCGTATTCAGCGTATTCACAATTTCACATCAAGACAGTGGCGGCAATTCACTTTTTCCGGTGGGGGGCAAAGCCTCCTAAATTTCCGACAAAACTTTCAAATTTCCGACATACCCCCCATTTGCACTCGAAAAGACTGTTTTTAGCCCTCTTTTAGGTCAAAATTTCCGAAAATTCGTCAATTTTCCGTGAAGGTGGGGGGGGCGGCCTCCCCCCCCCCCCGATTTCCGCCCCTGCATCAAGATTTACTTCATACATTTGACATTTCACATCTTACTCGTTTAATGTGCATTATTTACAGTGGTGTCAAGTAACGAAGTAAATGTACTTCGTTACTGTATTTGAGTACTATTTTTGAGAAGTGAGCATGTAACAAAGTAAACTTTTTCTGCAATACTTCTACTTGGAACGAAGTCGTTTTAGGAAGTAACGTTTTACTTCGTTATTTTCATTTTGTGGCGAAGTATTTCGTTGCTTTCTAATTTTTGTTTAATTTTACGTAATTTATTCCCAATTTATTTTACTTTTGGGATAGGTAATAGGACCTCTACATGCGTTTGGGGATTTTTTAGGGCCGTAAAACGGCCCCAAAGAGTCAATCTTGAATTGAGTTTTGAAACTCAATCTTCTCATCAAAAGATTCTGTGCAGTAAAATGAAGTTGTTTGAGTTAAATTCATGACGTGTGCAAATTAGTTTTCAGTTGAAAACCCGAAAATTAAGAAAAATATGGCTGGAATTCATTTCACAACCGCAAGAAAAACAACGCATTCGCCGTCTTTAACCAGTTTATAGTGTCCTTTAGTGCCTCTGCTTTAACACATTGCATCTCAACTACACTGAAGTGGGCAGGGGGGACAGCCGCCCCAGACCCCCAGCTGTTCAGCTAGACTCAATCTTCTTTGCAAAAACGGACCCAAGAGAAAATCCTGAAAAAACCCTGAATGGATTTCTTATATCTTCAGCGAGGTCTGGAAAGTTGACCATGCCGTGAAATATTGTATATTTATAATGCGTGTGCTGTTTTGTATCTCAATCCATGAATGGAGAAGCCTCCCCCCCCCCTACACTCTGCAGACAATAGTACTTTTATTTTTACTTTGTACTTCAAGTGAGTGTTTTTTAAGGATACTTTGTACTTTTTACTTAAGTATGTTTTGCCTCCAGTACTTTTTACTCTTACTCAAGTCGTTTTGTTGTTAATTACTTGAGTTCTTTATACTTACTTTTACTCGAGTATAAATTCAAAGTAATTTAGGCACCACTGATTATTTACGAGTTAATAATTCAGCGAGCTACTTGTGGGCCGTTGTGGCGTTTGGCCAAACAAAAAAATCGTGTGTCCACGTATCTTGTGTCTTAAAAGAACGCGTTTGTCCCCAAGAATTACCTCGACCGTGCTTCGCCGGAGGTTGATGAACGAGGCTGCTACTGTTAGCCCTATTGTACAGGGCGAATAGTCGCCAAAATTCATCGTGACTAGAGTTTGCATGGCTTGTTGACTTGAGGCAGGTTGAATTCAACTAGTAGACTCACTGTATTGCCCATATTGCTGTTCCTTGCATGCACAACATCCTTCACTTTCAGCAGAATTTTGCGTTAAAATGCTTGCCGCACGGCGTAATAAAGTTGCTGCTTCTTGTGATTTTGAACGGTTCTCGGCCATTTTATTCGTACCGAAGTAAGTAAATAACAATGTTGGAATAATTAGAGATAATTAAAATTATTTGCGGGAAATAAATTATCATTAAATCGAGTTGGAAATTGTGTTCTAAGGTTAACGCATAATGTTACGTCATCACAATGGAATGCGTAAGGACAAAATGCGCAAACAGAAGTGCAAATGCAATTGCAAACATCAAAATTCAATTCTTTAATATCAAAATTCAATTCATTGATATCATAAAGCACGGAACAAACAACAAAATCTATAACTTGGAATGCAAAATTCAAACATTAATTTTGGCGGTAATCCGGCCCTCCATAAAAAACAGCATAACCGTCTTCTTTGTGCATTTGGCTATTTGGTAAATTATATGTAATACGGAACAGTTATCGTGCTTTTGAACAATTTAAACTATAATTTGCGATAAGTGATACAATCCTTTCATGAATTAATATCACCTATAATTTTGAATATTAAAGAAAATCATTACTGCCCAAAATATCATTTATCACTGGACACTGCACAAATCCCATTTATCACTGCACAAATTTGTTATCATTGCACCTTAAAATAATCCTTGCTCCGACGAAATGAACTACAAAACTCCAAGTCAGACGATTTGGTTCAAGAACGTGATCAACACTATACTCTATAGACTGAAAATGGAAGAAAAATTCAATCAACTTATAGCGTTAGCTAATCGTAGAAGGCAAATCGAATGGTGTTCCCTTGGTCCCTCCATTACCTCCATTTCGAGTCCGCGTTCACAAAACTGTTTGGAATTCTTTGTTAAAGATATCTACAGTAAAAATAGCACTCTATACTTGTGCAATTAGCGTAATAAGACTGTCCTCGGAAGCCTTTTGCGAAGTTTTGAAAGACTTGTCGGAAGAAGAGGAATCCCAAAGGAAGTGTTATCCGACAACGTCAAAAGGTTCAAGAGCGTAGAGTTGCAAGAACTTATATCAGATCTATGAGAATGAAATGAAATTTCCCTTGGTGAGGTGGTTTCTTCGAGCGACTAGTAAAATTAGTTAAGTTTAAACGTTGTCTCAGGTCATACGAAATTACATTCATTTCCACGCTGATTTATTTTAGGTACCATGGGATACGATTCTTTGTTATGATGACCCCCAACACATGTTGAATTGTCAACGCATGTTCAGATCGTCGTACAATTTAATCCAGATAAAGCTCAAAATTTCTTTGTTAACACAAATTGCTTCGCTCCATTTTGTTCGAACGAGCTTGTCCCGCGAACCTCAGTCACAGAAGAAAGACACACAGAAGGTTGACTTCTTGGTTTTGCCGTGCACAATGGCTGACGTTCAGAGTGTTGAGGGGGGGGGGGGGCACGCTAGGAACACAAATCATTGACATTGCGAATAATGACGTGAAGCGGTTACGCTATTTTGGCTGAGTCGACCTTCTGTGTGTCTCTATTCTGAGCCTCAGTGGTCACTTAGGGCATTTGTTTACACATTTAGCCACGTGTTGCAACACGTGATTTTAGCGCTGAAAGTTGTTTTCTTAGAGGTAACATTTAAAACTATATAACCTTGCTTGACCTCGATCAGTGTGCGGGAATCTGAAAATAGAATATTGACTTGTTTATGCAATTGCCAATACATTGAAAAAGATATATGAGAGGAAAACTGGAAAACATACTGGTACACGTTTGATTGTCCTTATCGCACTTAGAAGTTGAGGTTTTGCTGTTGTGCATGATTTTCGACCTTTGGTTTAAGCTGGTTTACCATTAGGCATTAGGCGGAATGCCGAGCGGAATTTTTCTTTGTCTTTTTTTTCGCCTAATGGAAAACCGGCTTTAGAAGACAACCGGAATCGAATCAACTTTATCTCTTTATTATACATTTTAGCTAATGGATCACTTTAATAATATCTGGCATAAAGTCAGTTGTACGACAGATAAAGAGCAGTCTGCCTAGAGGCTTTAAAAACACGTGGCTGCTTTTTTTTGGCGACTAATAGTTGTTGTATCGACGTTCAGCGGAAGCAGTACTCTTTTCAGCCTGCCGACATGTGGAAATCGAGGGGTGGGTATAAAGCTTGGTGCATGATGGTGGTTGATGAGACAATTAAAATCATTTATTTTCAGGTTGTTTTAAACAATAAAATCATAAACCTAACCCATGCCCAACCCCATGAGAAATACAGCTGAATGTTTCATGCCTTTTTGCGCTTAATCTTGAATTCAATGGACAATGATGACAAAAACATGTACACATTCCATACGCGACAGAGAAAAAATGGCTCAACGGGCGTGAGATTCCTTCTTTGACTTTGTTGTCTTATATCACTTTCTTTTGTAGTAGTATATATAATCTGCGTTACCTTAATCTGTAAGCCATCCTTCCTGTCTGTGTTAGTGTTTTATTTTGTAGAAGTGTGATAATCTTAAACGTTACTGATTTACTAATAGAGAATACTCGATGTCAGAGGCAAAATGTTAAGTGCGCTGACATATGCGCTAGATCGGTTTAGTGTTTTGCACTGATGTCAGTGATGTGATGCATGCGACTCATGACGTCATACATAGAGTGAAATAATATGGTGATAAATGAAAAATAGTATGCTAATCGGATCATATTCCAATATCAGTAACAAACGTTTCTGAAAACAAAAATTACTGCATCCAATACAATTACTATAAAATAGCACTATTTGCCACAAAGCCAAGTCGCGAGGGTGGCCTTTTTAATAGATATGTGATTATGCATGCTTGATTGCGTAAGATTGCGTAAGCTGAATAAGACTGGGAAAGATTGCGTATACTGAATAAAATTCAAACGAAATCAGAGAATAAAATTAACCCAATGCAAGTAAAATATTGCTCCTGTAATTATATGATGGTTTCCTTGTGCACATATTTACTGCTGTACTGCGCAACTCACTAGATCACATGTTGCTAATTTGCATACCTCCCACATGCCAATGACCATGTGGTTCACTATATAAAATAATTGTTGATGATGTGTTCTTTGCCTTAAACTAATGAGTAAGGAAAATAACGATCTGGGTGACGCCAGATCTACGCATAGATTTAGCGTACCGATTTTTGAAGGATAGAGGTCGCCCTTGGACAGCTTGCTTACTTTCGCAGGAAGTCCTTGTGGAAGCGATCTCCGCTACAACCGAAGTAAAATAAATATATACTTTTCCGCATTGCTTGGTAAACTGCAAATGTCCAAATAGACCACAGGGGACTCAACTACTGTAAGTAACAAGTGTAAAATAATCAAAATAATAAAGTTACTTTAAAAGATTTGCATAAATTCTTCGCAAGAATGTCAATGGCCTGAATGGAGAAAGAACAAAAAAATTATCTATATGAAGTACTATAGAATCCTCAACAGGTAGGTAATGCGCACGTTGTAACCAATGATCTATTGCAGTCAGTGTAAAGCCATTGTATGCAATATAAAGTATTGCGTTGTAACTGAAGTCAAGACAAAACCACAGCCTATCATCCAGTAGCCTATTCAGTCGGATGAAGTTCGGCACTTGTCAGATATGCTCGGATTTGCATTCAGATTTTAAAAATAGCGGTGATTTGTTGGCGCCCGTAGTTTCAAGATTAAGTTTTTAAAAATGCAAATAATCAGAAATTGCTCTTTAATCAAAAATAGCTTTGAGATGCATTTCCGAACTGCGATCAGAAATCTCCGGTGTTTCAACCCTTCTCTAAATTTATATATAGAGAATAATGCATGGCCATGGGTGCGCGGAAATACCAGATTTATTTCGAGTGTTGAACATGATATCTCACGAGTGAGCGCAGCGAACGAGTGAGACTCATGTTCAACGCGAGAAATAAATCTGGTATTTCCAAGCACCCATGTATTTTTCTGTTTATTATATAAAGGACAGTCTTTGAAAAGCGATAATTTTTACAGAAAAGCGATAATTGAAAAGCGATAATTTTCACATGTGAAATCAGTTATCATAAATAATCTCACATGTGAGATTATCAGTTTTATCAGTGCTCGAAATCTCTATAAAGCACTACTATGCTTTATATAATAAATTATATTATTATTAGGATCTGGATTCTTGCACTTCACTTGGTGGAATTAATATTAGAATGTTAGGGTTTGTAATCCAAGTGAGTATATATACATTTTAAGACCTAACCAGGAACGACGGAATCGCAGGGCCGTAGGTTAAATTCCTACCAGAGAACCTTGTGCTGCATTTTTCGCAGTCGTTCCTGGTTAGGTCTTAAAATGTATATATACTCACTTGGATTACAAACCCTAACATTCTAGTATATTATTATTATTACACTGGCCGTAAGGCCCAGTGTTAAGGTTCCGTTTAATTTTCTGTGCGAAAATTATTCGTTTTCTGTGCGAAACTTCTTCGTTTTTTTCGTCAACGTGAAATCGACCTACGTTCAACAGAGGGAACTTTCGTCGACGCTGCATGAAAATAGTGCGGGCTCGTGAGCTTTTCCCCGCAAATTTTGCTTTTTGTTGTTTTGCTTACAATTTCTAAGGATGTTGAAGTTTACAGCATTGTGATTCACTGATTTTTGAAAATATCGGGGTTTTTTCGCTGGAACTTGCAGGCTAATTACTCTTCAACAACCTAATGACTGTTTTTAAAGCAAAGCAATTGAAAGCAAAACCGCTTATATTTTCATACGAAGATGAGTGGCGATATTTATGTTGGACTGTTTTGAGCAGATGCTTCGAAGAACATGACATAATCGGACCTTGTATCTTAATAGTGTACTTGGAACAGCCGAACAAAGTGGTAAATTTTGTTACCCGGTGTGTTGGGCATCATAATTCACAGGAATAGTGCTCAGGGCGTTTAAACTGGCTATGAAATATCCTGAATACTTCGTCGAGTTATCTACCGCCATGTGACCTGTAGTTTAATGTGGCACGCGTCTTTGAAAGGGCTTTACTTGACTTTAATCGATGTGTAAGGTATAACTTAGGTAAGCCAACATTTCTTTGTAATGCAAGTACATTTTCATATCTTTAATGTGTGAATATTTTTAATTTTGTAAAAAATTAAGCGCAATATGTTGTTGGAAAAAGTATCGAGTGCTTCATAATAACGCTCAGATCTTGTGTACAGATTTTTGTATTTTATTCAAAATCTACCCTTTATCACCACTTTTTTTATTCTTTTATGTTAAAGTATACAGAATCCTTGACTTGATAACATGATGATCTACTCGAGGAAAATTGGGCAAAGGGGCGATCTTTGCAGAGAAACTTGACCGTTCGGTAGTATTTCGTGACAATATGTTGGCCGATTTCTAGTTTATATTGTAGAACGGGTTCCTAGTGAATTAAATTAATTATCTATCTTCTAACGAGTAGTAATAAGCGCGATTCCTTTTTGTTGATGCATGTTGAAATCATTTTAGTAATTTAGACTTTTCTTCATATACAACAAGTACACTACCGAGTACTGAATCCGCACTGTTTGCAAGGAAACTAGCCTATATCACCTTCATAATTCCAGCTTATTTTTAAAGTCATATAGTTTCTCCATGTTGTAGAACGGGTTCCTAGTGAATTAAATTAATTATCTATCTTCTAACGAGTAGCCGTAATAAGCGCGATTCCTTTTTGTTGATGCATGTTGAAATCATTTTAGTAATTTAGACTTTTCTTCATATACAACAAGTACACTACCGAGTACTGAATCACTGTTTGCAAAGAAACTAGCCTATATCACCTTCATAATTCCAGCTTATTTTTAAAGTCATATAGTTTCTCCATGGATAAAAGTAGTTTTTATGGAGTCAAAAATAGGGCAAGTACGAATTTAAGGAAGGTCAATTTGCACTTGTATATCTCACTTCGAAAAACATGAGATATACATATAAAACAGGTATATTTGTACGGCGAAATTAAACTGCTGCAACAAAGTTTTTATTTCTACTTTCACGTTCTTATTCCAAAACAAACCCTTCTAAGTCGGAAATGCATGCCTAAAATTGTGAGCGTAGAAACGCTAAAGAAACAAGAAAACGACTTCATAACACGAGTAGTTTTGGCAAATTTGGTGTTTGCTTTTAGAATTCAGTCACGCGATCAACCCGCGCTAACGTGCACTCCACGCTTACGTTTCTCGCGCATGCGTAAACGAAAGTCCCCTCTGTTCCTACGTTCATGAAATGAACCGCTGACCTGCAATGGATCGCGGGTTCAAGTCAAAATGGCCGCCAGGTAATAGGACAGTGTTTCCACAACGGAGCATTCAAATTTCTTTGTTTTACCAAAGAATTTCCTTGAAATGAGATGTAATTTCCTTGATTAACCGAAGCATCAAGAAGTATATTTTGGCAACTAGAATTCATCAATATATTTATATAGAGTAAGGCAGAAACAGAATGGTACATTTCTTTCGTACAAATCTTAAAAAGAAAGCCTTTACACAATAATTTTGAAAGCTTTAAACTGTAAAATACCAGAGTTTTAATATAACACTCAATAGTCAACAACTTCACATGACAAGTAAATTCATATAAATTCGCATGACAGCTAACACGTGGTGGCCTGCACGCAGGACGTTACCTGATTTCCGCCTAAAATTCAGGTTGGGTGCAGCCTACTTAGTTTAATTAATAATTCTAGATTCTACTGACTCGCGGCTCCAAAAGAGTTTTTTTTATTTTTGCACGCAGACATATTGGTTATGAGCGAAGGAAAGTAATATAATTTAAAATTAATGAAAGGTTCCTGAAAGAATCTTCAAAACATTTTTTTTTTTTCAGTTGATTCAAAAATTCCTTGAATTGCCTTAGAATTTTCAAAAATTCCTTAGATTTCCTTGATTCCTATTTTTTCCTTGAAACGTCTTTTTTCGGTCAAAATATCCTTGAAAAAGGAAAAGTGGAAACTCTGCAATAGGATTTTTTGTCTTGTTTGTTTGTTTATACTATTGATATATTGCTCTTTCTCTATTCATAATATCAGGCATCGATGTTATTGCGAGCAATTTATGCAAATCTTTTAAAGTAAGTTTATAGTTTTGATTACTGACAGTAGTTGAGGACCTGAATTTACATTGGCTCCACTCGGCCTGAAGTATTTATAGTTTCCGAATGTCCTACTGAGGAATCGAGTTTAAAGTATACCAGCGCTCTAACTAGTGAGCTATTGGGATGCCCGATTCAGAGACACAGAAATCATTATATACACACTCAACGCATGATATCCAATCCATGCACATATCACGATGGGCAGATGTCGGTTGAGCAGACCGTGTCTGAATTGAATACGTATTCTTGAATTTCTTTTGCATTTTATTCAGTTTTACAGCTAGTAAGAACAACGTTGCTCAATGTGTCCGTTCCTATCACGTGTCACGCAACCCAGAGCTTGATTATAATATGGAATTTAGCATAGCCGAGGTATACGAGACAGCCGCAGCGTTATCACAATATCAGGCTCAGACTCCTCTTTCAACTTGTAAAGATGTCACTGCAAAGGTACGCAATTTAAATGCATATTCATTATATTCTCCATTACCTGGCAGTTAATAAAATATTAGCGATACTGTTAATTAAATTAAGGTACTTTGACACGTTGATGTCTGTGAAATCTTCCGCCGGAGAAAACCTCTGGCGGACACAAAAATGTTTCGGCCCAAGTGCACTGCAGTGCCGTAATCTTTTTTGGAAACGCCAGCAACCAATGCAAATCTTAACAGTTACACTGTATTATAAAATAACATGTATATAACGCGTGCTCTGATTGGTCGAAACCCGTGTTTGGATCAGGCCATCCAAACACGGAAGACTATCGTGTTGTTGTTATTTTATAAAACAATTACTTTATGGTTTCCCTGTTAGGATGGCCTAATCCAAACACTTGGGAATGCTGCTCGAGTTAAGAAAAGCGCACAAAATCACTCGCCTGCGGCTCGAGCTTTCGCCCGCTTTTCTTAATCGCTCCGCGCAACATTCCCGCGTGTTTGGAGCAGGCTATCCAAACACGGAAACCATAAAGTAATTGTATAGTAGTAAACGTATACTAAAAACTTATTAATGTTCGGTTTTGTCTCCTCTACTTGTATTTTAGTCAGTATATGACCAGCGACGCTGGTAGCGTCATTGTCGCCAGACAATATATAACTTAACGGTTTTCTCCACCTATTATCATAGGTCATACAGTCAACATCAGTCTGGAAAACCGCAGGAGAGTTACTGTAAACTCTCGCTCGAATCGGTTCACTGATACTCTAACTTATACGTACACTTGAGCTCCACGTTTAAACCTCTAAGCCTCACTTTTAAACATGCGACGAGAATTAGCCATTCAGTTTTAGGCTTGTCCCAAGTCTGCCTCTCAAGGCCAAGGGGGTTCTTATTTGGGAGTTAAGTGCATGGGTAAAGACGATAACAGGGTGCGTGTGAAGGAGATACAACTATAAACATATGTGGTAAAGTATAGAACTTCGATGTTTCGCGCAAAGAACCTTCATCGGGAAGTTAGTAGCCCAAAGTACACCGCTGTCAGACGTAGAGCAAGCCTGCATGCATGACGCGTATATATGGTGGCATTCCTTACTAAGCCTCAGGGCCGCCGAGAGGGGGGAGGGAAGGGGGGGGGGCAAATTGCCCCGGGCCCCGAGTTGCTGGGGGCCCCTGAAAAATTTTTGTTGGGCCCCAGCCTTTTTTTGTGTTAAATATTTCCGCGCAAAGGACAAGATATCTGTTCTCTTGGGCTAAGTACCGAGTTTTGAGGTAAAAAATGAGATAAAGTCCCTCGAAAGCAATTGCAACGTACTCGTCCGGAAAAATTTTTTACCCCTAAAATGGTACACTGACCGAAAATTTTTTGGCGACGGGGGGGTGGGAGGTTGTTCTCCGAAAAAAAATTTTCCGGGAAAAATTTTTTAGATAGGGGCCCCTAAAAAAAAATTTTCCCCTGGCCCCCGCCAACCTCTCGGCGGCCCTGCTAAGCCTTACCATGCCTTCCGTCACGTCACGTTTACAACTGAGATTATTATAGCACCCCTAAGTAATCCTTTGTAAGTTGTTTTCTATGCTAAAATCTGGATTAACTGGCTAAAATCTGGATGTGGTTACGTTTGAGGTTGAGATGATTGCATGGCATCACTTACCTTATAGTTGTAGATGCTAGACGATTCTGAATTCCATATCTTCACTCTCGTTGATAATCAAATAATCACTGATTCTAATTCTTTCAATTCAAGTTCATCACAATGGCAATGTACTTTTTTAAAATTCTTTTCATATGACTAATTCTGACACCACTGCAGTACAGAGAACGACGTTATTTCAAACGGTTGCGAGCGGGGTTCGACCGCGTATATAGGAGAGTTATCGATTGTAAACTCTCACTCGAATCGGTTCACTGTGATGACAACTCGCGTAATTTAGAATTAGGATATATGAAAAGATTTTTTCTGATTCTAAAGAAGATCTATATAAAATTTATTTTTAGGCCTGAAATCCTGAATGCAGTTTTCTACTTCTTATACTGTAGGCCTATATATAACCACAACGAACTGAGTCTGTGCATGTATATACCCAATACTGTAAACTGCTGACATTTTGCTGCTTAGTGAAGCACAGGGGAAAATGTCCAAGTATTCTTCACTATTTCGAGTAGTTCCACCAAAATCTCAATATTAAATTGAAGAATACTATTTTATACGTATATAGTTGTGTTGAAGGATCTATAACTACCTAAAAAAGATCAATGGCGCGAGTAAGGGTCCTTTTGTGGCCAAGTCTTCGCTTGATAGTTAGATCAAGGTTAGATCAACTAAGCTGGTGAATAAAATTTTATTTTATTATTTACACGACAAAATTACTGAATTTTTATTGGTTGAGAGGAGTACAATTATTTTATTAATTGTGTAACAAATTCGAGCAAAAATATTCAAAATGGCGGTTCAACAGGTGTCACTGGAAAATTTTTTGAAAATCCATAGGGCATAGACCTTCATAGAATGGAAATTGTATGGACCTTTATTGGAAATAGAATGGATTTTGGTTATCCATAATAATTGTATATTTCCATAGTATGGATCAGTATAGTATGGAAATAGGATGGATATACTATGGATATAGTGCAGTGCAATTGCAAATTTCGTAGTATGGATTTCACTTTTTTTTCCAGTGTGTGTGATTTTTCTTTTCTTTCACAATTTCAGGAGCTTTATAAAAAAAATTCCGATATAAATATTTGAAAATGAATGCATAATGATGAGTATCCAGAATTAAAGCTCTCAATTAAAGAATAGAAGTCAAACTACCTGAAATGCAACTCAATTAACATGCACCGTCAAGATATTATTGAAGAATGATACTATTAACTTATATACTTACACTTGAGCCCCACGTTTAAACCTCTGAGCCCGACGTTTAAACCTGCGACGATAGGTTCCTGCATGCTAGTCTCAACTAATGCGATATATTTACGGAGATTGGTTGCAGCGAAATAGAACTCTCGTCATATAGTAAAGATTAACGACGATGTCGATGCCTTGATATATATTGTGAAGATAAATATCCATGTCCGAGTATATATATGTACATAGCTATATGAGTTAATTAAAAACAGAGCTGTTTCGATTTAAATCCACGTTTTTAGGATTATCTTCCATCTAATCAGTTCAACGATCGCAATCACTACGAATAAAAGGACAACGACCTACGAAATTTTATCACAGCCCATCATGGCCATGCAGAACTTATCCATACATGGACCTTGACATGTCTCTTTAATTAATGTCGTCTTAAGGATAAAGAAAAATGTATACAGTGATAATGCTAAAGTTTCCTTTTACATATTATATTTTATATGAAATATTAAAATTTTTCAAATACAAGGTCAAGGAATATTGCACATCTATAAATTCTTCTACATTTCTTTTTAATTTACAAATAACATTCTTGGATTTGCAAGAACTGTTTAGTGAATGTTTAATGTTCGAACACAATGGCAATTGTGTGAAGTCTTCAGAAATTTTAATAACTTCCATGTAGTTATAGGAAGCACGTCGTTAAAGACCATACCGAACCGACTACCTGTTGTATACGCTCAAGACAATAAACCATGCAAGTAAGGATATAAAATGCGCAGTTAGATGTATACAATAAGATAGATATATTTACACATTTATTGTACATCTAATATAAAAACTGTCCGTTCCATCAAAGGCAACGTCTACGCTTTCCATATCTAATACTTTGGCGTTGTTCGTCATGAAACAAAATTCAGGGTCGTGACCACACGCATCTATTCTGTATTGGGCGAGTGCGTTTAACAAAAAATTGTTGGTTGTTGTTAACATGGCCGGCACTTGCATTTCGTCGCCAAAGGCAAAGCTACTGTTCTAGTTTTTGGTCCTTTATGACAATTCAATGTTATGTATTTCGTTACACTTTGAATTGGAGAGCAACACGAGCAAGTCTTGGCGAAACCGCCAAAACCAGAAATTTTCGGTATAGCCGAAGACATACAATGTCCATCGCAACCTTTGCTAGCAATTCTTCTTTTTGTACAACCAGGTATATCTATCGTTGAAATCCCAATTCGAGGTTTGCATCCGTGCATTCGTTTCGCAGTACTAGTACATATTCCATCCAACGTGATAAATATAAGAACCAGTAGCGCTGTGTTGTATTTGGAAATCATTTTTGATAAACTTGTTACTTCACCTATTTAGCAAAGGAAAGAATGTAAGATTGTTTATTTCAGTAATCCTCAGCGCAGAGTGCTTCACTCGATGAAGTCATGTATATAATGAAGAGACCTAACACATAGTTTCATCATCAAGTCTACGGTACTCAGTATTTCAAGAGCCAGCTGTCTGACAAGCGCGTCAGTTATCAAAACAGAACTCAGAGAGTTTCTGATTTGATGAAAACAATATGCAAACGCAACGAACGCGGCTCTTTAATTGATACAAAAACATGTTTTTCCGACTGATAACGTGCGAGTTCCTGTGTAGAGTGAGTCTTCACAATTGCAACTCGCAATAGGTAAACTATTGAAAGGCGAACACAGGTAATTCGTATGGAGAAACCAGTGGCTGTTCGTATTAAACATCTAGATTTAACAGTGAATGTATTAACATGCGCCCACACTGGCCACACACGTCAACCTCGCACGGGTAAATTGAAAGACAGCGGAGTAGCTTTTGCATTCACTTCTCACGCCAGCGCGTAAAGTTCACACCTCTTAACCAAATAAATAGTACATGTTTTTAGCACATAGGCTTTTCTAGAACCCTTAGATATTTAATGAATTCGTTTTCAATTTCACTGCAAGTATAATTGCCGGTGAAGTAAATCAATTCAAATTAACAATAAATTACCTTTCACGGTTACTTGCGCTATAATTATGTGTGTAACGCTCCTCTAACGCAATCCAAAATCTGTTCAACTTTAAATACAAAGCTCAACAACAATGATCTGATGTATTTAAAGCACAACGAATTATCATCGTAAATGTTAACGGCATTGTTCACAACGAGGTGCCATTTATTTCTCTGGCTCCCAGACTTTTCTGTTTTTAAGTCTCCTTGGCATGCAATTAAGCGTTGATTTTATTGTCTGCGTCAAACAGTTCACGCAGCGCTCATGAGCGTTTTTCACACGATCCGCAACATACCAGAAAGTGTCGAAAGCTTGTATTAAATACTTAATAACATTTATAAACGCTTACAGGAAGGCTTGTCATCATATGACTGCATTTCTTAGTTAGGCTATGATGTGATCAATATACCGAGGCAGTGCGCTAGCTTCTCCTTCAAACTTATCGTCAAGACGCAGTAAATGCAGAAATAACTTGCGCGATTCATTGCGCGCCAACCGCAATTACAGACAAACGTTGCCTTGCAATTTTAATTTCCGACCAGGTGAATTGCATTTAAGGTTGTGTTAAATGTTCCGCTGTGTTCTATAATCAGATTTTCCAGCTAATCTGACGAAAATAATTTACCGCCATCGGCGGCAACACTCGCGGTGCATGAGAATACACAGTCAACTTTGCAGAATATTTTTTCCTATTGAATGTAGAGTATTAGCACGAACTATAATTGCACCATTTGTACAGACCAAACATTCCATTCTGGCCTTAATCGCCTCTTTTATCAAAATGAGAATGTCTTGTCATAGACGACATTGACAAACTTAGCAGGTGACTTGATGTAAATAAGAAGTTTAGTGTAAGATCAACAATTAGGGGCGCAAATTAGCATGGCTTGTAACTTGTAAGTTTGCACTAGTCATTTAATTTGAGGATTATACCAGCAAACTATTAGTGATTCAGCAAACAATGGAGGGAATTATGTAATTAAACAAGAGAGATTAAAATAGAAATCATTTAGCCGGTTAACATGTTATCTAGCGCAATAATTTCAATACTAGTCAATACAACATGTACAAAAGTGATTATTTTCTGGGTAACAGGGCTAGGGCTGTAGGGAATATCGCCTACTGTGTACAAGTGTGGGTTTCAATGACAAAATCTATTGTAATCAACCAAAGGTTAACAAACTGAGAAAAATCGATTTATTTGCTGAAGCAACAAACAAATGTATATAAGAAAGGATTATTTAATTACTGCAAGTTACAAGTCAAATTGTTCTTTCTATATTAAGCAACAAGAGCAATAATCAATATGGAAACGGCGCAGCGCAATGTAATTCATGAGTTTTGTTGCACGGCTGGGATACTTCAGTTGGGAGGGCGCATGTCTGCTGACTATCAATGAGCTGTTTAATAGCAATCTAATACGAAATTCCCAGACTATCTGAGACACGAGCCGACGAGCGAGTTTGATTACACAGTCGAGCTATGAACGTAATTGCTCCACGTTAAGTGCCATTGTGCCAACGAAAATACGTCAATATCATTTTAAAATGAAGCCTTTGGAATGAGCTGTTAAATAACATGTAAGTGCCATTAATCATGATTCTGCAGAATGTTATCTTAAGAACGCTTTCGACATACATGGTTATGTAAACTTCTTCAAAAAGAATGATGTACATGCAGTGATCCAAATATGCTACTGTTTTAATAACAAACATTGCATCATGTTGATCTTAGTTCTAGAATTACAGGAAAATTGAGATATTTTTAGCGACGGTTGCACGTACTATTAGTATGCGGAACCGATCTGACTAACTGAAAAACAGCAAATATTGAAGAAATTACAGGATCCATGCTTAATCGCCAATTCTTACGCTTCAGTATTGGGATCAAATGAAGTATACAGTATATATATACAGACTACAGTATAAAAAAATAGAGTCCATCTTTTATGGTTAATAATTTTCCGAATACCACTCCTTATATAGTTTTATTTTAAAGCTTCGCGTTCGTTCTTCTTTCGAACAAGGGGTCATTTCTAAAATGCAAGTGATAATGGTACAGGAGAAAATATAGAAAATAACGCACTATTTTAAGGTGGACTTACACTATTATACTTATTATTGCAAAGCCCTTTCAATCTGTAAGCCCGCATCTTCATCAGAGCTAATAATGTTACTAAGTAAACGTCTATCGTCGGAAAAAAAACGCCATCGAATCGCATAAAAGTTAGTAAATGAACTAAAAATACCAGTGCACATGAGAATTCCGTAGTTTTGTCATGAACAAGTGCCAAAACGCTTTAATTTTTCCGAGTTTTTTTGACAATTTAAGCGAGAGTACTTCGATTTGGTATTGACTATTGTATCATAATTTTTTATTCTCCAATCTAATCCCAATCACATAAAAAACTATTTTTCTACGAACCAATCGATCAAATTTCAAACTAGCTAAATAGTATAGCTTTCAAAAGTAGCTGAGTGTAAACACAAACGGTTTGCTTTATCAGATAATGCTTTTCGAATTTTATGTTTGAATCCATTTTTTTTATACACACCGTGTGTCAAAGTGTTATCCATATAGTACACTGTACAATAGTCAATACTACTTTGTTCATTTGATTACCGTACGCATCGAACTGTATAATGCAATGCCGAGATTTTGAAAGAAGTTGAATTTTAACGTTAACTGATAAAAGACATGAAATTTAAAGAGTTGTATACATCTGAGGAAATTACAAACAATGTAAGTTTTGTTCATTGAAGATTAAATTAACAAGGTAGATGGAAATGCGAAGTTCTACGAAATTCCATTTTATTCTATTCCATTCCATTCCATGGTATTCTACTACATTCTGTTCTATTCCACTTTATTCTGTTCTATTCCACTTTATTCTGTTCTATTCTATTCCTTTCTTTGAGATTAATATAAAAAGTAGTCCAGTCAGTCAAGACAATCAGAAGTAGAGAAGACAACAAAACATTCAAAATGAACGTGACTGGAGATTTTCACTATTGTGACACCGCGGTTCCATTTGAATGAGTCAGCATTTCGGCAATTTTACTCAACGTCAATCTAGGTCAATTTTACGTGGGAGTGCGACCTCCGTATTATTTCAGACAAGTCAGCAAACCATAGTCTAGATAGAGATAACCTGGCGGTCAAGTGGGGAGGTTATGGGAAAATATACTGTTGATGATATTCACGACGTAATGTGGTTTCCGACCAAATCATATAGCACGAGTTTGGAATGTATTAATGTGGTTTCCGACCAAATCATATAGCACGAGTTTGGAATGTATTATTTGTTCTTCATTACTTAGCAAGCATTTTTAACAGTAATCCACACGTCTTGCCCAGCCTATTAAGTAAAATGCTATGCAACTGCTATGACAAGGATAATATTAACTATGGCTATACGATCTTCAAGTCACGAATATGATTGGAACCATTAGGGATCGCTCATTATTAATAGTAGGGGTGGGACCGAAGAGAAACTCTCATGATATAAAAAAACTAGTTACCCGACCTTTCACAGTTCCAGATTTTTTCTCACCCACCCAACTGATGTCTATTAGTTTCTTTGACCCACCCCACCATGCTAAATGAGTGTATTTTTCTATTTAAAGAATTTTTTTACCCAACCCCCATGGCTATTCAATTTTTTCTTAACCCAACCTTGGTCATCCAGCATTTTTTCTTGACCCATGCAACCATTTTCTCTTCGGTCCCACTCCCACTATTAATAATGACCGGTCCCTTAAGCTCGATCCAGTGAGAGTCATCTCGAAGCGGATAGCCAGGTTCTGTGATTGATTACAACAATGAAACACATTAAAACTACAGAATAAATTTTGCGGAGAACGAGTCACAAACATTGATAACGGTTGTTTAATTAAGGAAGCCAACTCACAAAACATGGCAGTATTTTGCTATTTATCGTCTAATGATAAGAACGTTCCACTGTTTTTTCGTTCTTTTGAACGACATAACTGATCTCCATGCCATTCAGTAACTGTTTTTTACTCGGTTTACGTAATTTTAATGTACTGCACGTTATAATTAACCATCCGATAGTTTACATTTGTCTTCATGATGTATAAAATAGGATGAAAAAGGGAAAATCACTATTTTGTGAAGAAAACGTTTTTGTCTAAATTATAGAAGTGGTGAACACTATAATGTCTTCTTTCGATTTTCTCTTGCGACAGTTTGATCATTATTTCAAGTATTTAATGAGGCCTCTTAGGTAACAGCTATTGTCCTGACTCTTATGAGTTACCAATGGCAAAGGCACAATTAAGTCTGCGTTAAACGTTTACGTTATATAGCGACTGCTTCGCAGTCTATTATGCCGGTCACCACCTATGATTTTCCAAAGTTCGAATAAGTTTGAACTAGCAATGCTAGTATATATACCCTATACTATAGGCTATAATATGTGCATGGATGTTGTAGTTATGTCTAATACAACTAATTAGATCTTGGCCAAAATAGAATAATTCTCAAATTGAAAATTGGATATAGCATGCAATTTATAAAGATATTTTTGACTGTGGGGTAAAACTCTCATGCCGATAAACAATACATGATTCGCCAGGTTTCCAAGTCTTTCAAACCACAATTAGTTAACAAGGCGGTTTCTTTCAGAAGTTGAAACAATCAACAGTCTTAATTTAGAATCTTAATCAGCTAATTGGCAATTGAGGTTTTTCTGGATTATAATTAAGTATAAACTAATACAATGCGTGCATGCAATGGGTAGGGCCACAAATAATATCCTCAAATCATGCATGCACGTATGTATTAACATGCGCGTTATAATACCCGACCTGCACTATTCCATTTGTTCACCACGCATGGGAATTCGTACGGTTACAGCAGTTATAGGTTAAATGTATAAGGCGAGCCAAGAAGAGGAAGGAGATAAACATGCGCGTGTTTGTATCTTATACAACAGTCAACACGTCGGTCGCTCACGCTGTATATTTTATTAATATACTTAGCCCTTGAGTGAATTGATAAATGCATCATGCTACTATTTCCCACACTCCATGTCAAGATGCGGCTATTTTTTATATAGAGGTACACATGAATCCCCGCCAAGATTCGTTTGTGAATGTTTCGATTGATATTCGTTTATCAACGATTGCGCCGAGATGCATCAATTAATTACCATGCATGGGAATATTAGAGCTCGCAGGTGTCATTTATTATTCACAGGGGAATTGTTTGGAAAACGATGTGTGAGCCAATAAACCGAAAGCAAAATTTTCTTATATCGTACAAAAAATATACTTGAGAGTTTCTTGCGATAGTCAGTATTATAATAGTTATTACGGCTCAACCCAACAGCTTTTAACAGTGCAGTAGCATGCTAATTACATGTTGTTCGCAGGCTGGGTGTTTGAGCTAAATTTAACTGGGCCACCTGAGTTGAGAGATTATAGATATACTTAATGTTAACTAATATCATATGTGGTAAAGATCGTGTGATGATTATTTTTAACTAGCATATATTAAACAGCTTGGCCGGGCTATATATATTTATGTGGTGTAAAGATCGAGTGCACTTACTAGTGAGCATGCGCTGAAGATTCGGGTTTAATCGAAAACTTTACGATTCGGTTCTCTGTTCAGAATAATATCTCAGGGGCCGTACAGACATGTACATACTGTGCGGGTACATACTGATTCAATAATATATGTTGAGGTAAAATTAGAAAGGTGATGAAAACATCTATACCTAGCTTGCGTGAGAACACCATTATGTGCATGTGAAACAATACGCTGAAATCATTAGACATTTGTACATCTAATGCCTCGCCTTTTCCGTTTTTGTACAAAGGTGGGGAAATAAATCGCTGATTCACGCTACCAACGGCAATGTAGTTAGTCTTAGACAAATTAGGAGCTTTTAAAACGTGATAATAAGTTCAATCTTTTTATAATTGAACTCAAGAACACAAGTCAAAGGAGACATACATTTCAAGGCGATGCATAATAGTTTCGTCTGTAAGTATAGAAGCTGTAAGAGCTTTGGTATACACTTACTACACTAAATGTTTTGATTCATCGCTACACTCAATGTTTTGATTCATCGAAATTTAACGCAGTATAGAATGCGATTCACGCATCTTTGAAAAAACACGTTTCCACTTTTCACAAGTTTCATTACTGAGAGTTACTTGCATTGTTTATAGCATGTACAATTTCAATTCTCGCTTTGTCTTTGATGTTCGTTGCCGGTAAATTGTTTATCAACACCATTGAAAAAACTGAACCGTTTAAAAAATTAACGGTTTTAGGATTTAAGTTAGAAATTCAAACGATCTTCAGCCGTAAACACTCACTATTAACCATAACACTGTGTGATTGCAGTTTTCGTAAAATGTTGAATAGTGTTTTTTATCCATCCCAATTGAGGAAACTGATCATTTCACAATTTAAAGCAAAATTAAAATATGAATACAAAATGATTTTAAACTGAACATTGTAAAGTATTTAATCAAGAAGTAGCACTGTGTGATTACAGTTGTCTCCGTTCTCGTTTACAAATATTGAACAGTGACAGTGTTCTTTTGATCGACATCAATTGTCAAAACTGCAGAACCATTTTAAAATTTAGAATCAATACGATAAAAATAGCAATAGTGGTATATTAGTGCCAATAAAAGGTCGCCATATTCGCATTACCTGTACAATAGAAGTAGATGTTCTTGTTGTGTTCGAGTTAATCCGATCCACGGCACTTGGACTTCTTGCACTGTACTGTAGGACAATCAGTTGCGTATGAACAGAGGATATAGTGAAACGCCGCTTTTATAACTGTCGCCAGATGTGCGCAGAAGGTTGGAATTGTTTATAACCCGAAAAGGATGTTTACCTATTAAAAATATTTTGGACAGGCCTATGTCACATAGTTTGGATTTGTGATGTCATTATTTCTTATCGACATTGCCAAAAGCAATCGAAGCACCACCCATCAACAATGATGGAAAACTATGCTGCATATAAAGAAGCTATGATATAGCACTAAAGTTATACGACCACGCAGTCAAAGCTACTTGATGCGCTATTAAGACTGTAGTTTAAAGTCTCTTCAAATACTTGAGATGCGCAAATTTGCGTAGGCGCTGATGACTTTGTAAAACGGTAAATTAGCAAAAATATCCTTTAATCACTACCTTTTAATGCAATTTTCTAACCTATAAAAATAGAGCGATAAAAAGTTTTAGATAAATTTGGACCGGCTGATATGCCGTTTGTTTAAAGTTCTTATCTGTTTGCTTGCAACTAAAATGAGACCAAATATCGTAAATAACTGTTCTTCCGCAGTAGGTTAGTTGATTATAAAGAAAAGACCGGCGTGTTAGATTACCGGACATCTCCTTTATGGACGTTTACTGGATTATTAGTTGAGCCTATAGGCCAAGGTGTTAAATACAACTGAACTGATGGAATTTCAAATCTTAATAAATCATGCATGCCCCCTTGCACTTTTTGTATTAGTTTAGCCGATGTGTTTTGCTGCAGGATAATTACATAACATCTCATGCATGGCCAAAACATCAAATGGTTTTCTAAACTGTAATATCCGGCTACACCTTTATTTTCGCGTTTCTTAACATTCCGTGCGCGTTCAATACGCTTGCGTTCAAATAATCCTTACAGCACGATGGAGCAAAATTATTGCTTAGAAGAACCGCGGATATGTGGATATACCCGTACCAGCCTAGAAAGATTTAACTCTTCAACACTTCAAACGAGGGCCCTTCGTTAGTGGTTAATTAAGGTTAGAAACGCCTCGTTCTTTAAACAAATCCCTTTTATCCAGGTCAACTTTATAATTCATGCATTGGATAATCCCAAGACAAAATAAAAGAATTTTTTTAAAAAAGACGTAGTTTTACGCAGCGCTAACGTGTGAAATTTACCGCTGGATGCTTCATGCTTGTAACCTCGAAGTGTTTTTAATCTTTTCAAGATCACGAGCTATAGTCATTAACATCAACGGTCAGATTGTTTCTTACACCCGCTAAATCGTGGTCGACGCTTGATGCTGAACCGTCGTGCTAAATGTCGTCAATAATATTTTGCTGCACTGGACGCATATTAATGACAAAATCATGACTTATGAGGCGTTAATGACGGGAAACACAAAATATTTTTATAAAACGCCCAAGAACATAATAAAGACAACATAGCCGAAACATTGAATTAGTAATATTGTTTCTATCCGGACTTGTTGTATTCTATCGGAGGCGTGTTGCTAAAAGAAAATTTGAGTTGAATTTCATCTTGGACTGTGGTGAGCAGCATTTTAACGGAACAACGATGAATTCTAAGTATATATGTCTTGAAAATAAATTGGCTTATATGTGCATCTATCGGATACAAGGGCATTTACTTAATTATAGCTTTGCTGCGAACAGGAAACGAACACCTCATTGGAAACTTAGGACTGCAGTAGATGACAATATGCAACTTAGATTTAATGCTCTAACTCCCTTTTTCTTCACGAAAGTTCGTGCAGATCGATAGGACTAAATATACTCATTCGTGCGCCATTATGTCATATTTTGCTTCCAATTACTAAATATATCACGTCACGAAATTGGTTAGTTGTAAACCCGGCTTGGGAGGTTGCATGGTTAATTGGAAACCTAGCTTGCTAAATGCATATGCCAGAATTGCCACTATTGAGTGTGATACGTAAGCCAAAATACTAAAAGTACAAATTTATCTAACATTATATATAAGTATATATTTGAACTGAAGAATCACAGGTTCGTGTCAAACAAATATTAAATCAGTCCAGTCATTTTACAAAAACTATGTAGTACTTTTTCACCGTATTTTACTAATGCAAACTTTCAAATTCATCTATATATATATAAATTTAACTTGCTTGATTTCAGGAATTATATATACATATATATATATATATATATATATATATATATATATATATATATATATATATATATATATATATATATATATATATATATATATATATATATATATATATATATATAATTAATTCATTACAAAAATCATATTGCTCACATCAATCTTTATACTAACCTTCGATATAGATATATTTTATTCAAAGCTTTAGATCCTCTGCTCTTGAAAGAAAGAAGTATTCTCAGGAATAGAATCTTTATATCTTTATATAAAAGTTGATATAAGGTATACCAGTCAGAAGAACACCGTTACCCAATGGCTGCTCAGAAGTTTATGACGAGTGAGTTAATGTACGAAATGATAGGCAAAACAAGTGAGCGGGCTGTATTTATATTGTAGCAGGGTCAAGAGTCAGGAAGTAGATTTTGCATGGTGAAAGATTCGATCAACACTATCTATGTTTTTGTGATGCCTACGCCGGAGACATTCATGCATGCGCGAAACTTCATTTGCATTTTGTCGCGACGATTTCCGCGCTTTCTTGTTTCCATAATGTACGGCATTAGCAAAGCGTGGTGCATTTCACAAGAGTGCCGAGTTGAGAATGCAATAAAAAGCGCGTGAAAATAATACTTTTTGACAAAACACATGTCTTTGAAACGTTTACAAAAACAAGCTGAAGGGATTTCCTGCTGCTGATCATTCAGCCTGGCAGGTTGTAAAATTGGAAAACGAAAATAGAAAACTTTCCGGGTTCATACTGCCAAAAATGATCGCTTAAGGCTTAATATGTAGCATAGGACGATAAGTTAGGGAGTGTTATTTTAACGATATATGTTGATTTTTGCTTGATGAGGGGACTCGATCGATCATTTTTTAAATTTTTTTCCTTCCCAACGTTTTCTTTCTTCTCATTACCTTTTTTCAGTTGTGCGGCGTGTGATTACAAGTGAAGACTATTAAGCTTTCGCAAATATTTTAAGTGCGTTTACATAACCTATAAACTGCATGTGGAATTGCAATCACGAAAGCAATTCTTTGAAAACATATCAAAATCTAACATGCGTTAAAAGTTTTAAAGTAATGCCATAAAAAGAGTGATGTTATCTCATTCTGTCACTACTGCCAGATGAGTATATGAATAGCCATCATGCACCTTCGACGGCTATCGAAGATCAGATTAGCACATACCTTCAGATTATTAAAACAATCATGGTTGCTACATTTCGAAATGTTACTTTCGAAACCAACATAAGCCTAATTGTTGGCTTGGCAACTGAAAGGAAATTCCAGAGAAAATCCACCCGCGCACTAGCTCACTTGGAATTAAATCACATTCCCACGTGAAATTTACATCATTTTCCAGCGTTAAGTTTGCCAATCAAAAGCTGTTGGTTTAATCCAAATTTAATATAAAATTAGCTACAGAGTTTTTCTTAAACATTATTCAGAATTATAGTAGAAAATGGCAAACACAGAATTATAGTAGAAAATGGCAAACACGAAGAATTTTTCTACCAAATGCTGTTTTAATACAATTTAAAGATAAATTACTGTATAGCCTACATGCAGAGAGAGACCCACATCCCATTTAACAATCTTTGCCAATCAACCCCAAGTTTCAAAACACTTGCCATGCCTTCAATTAAGTCACTTAATTAATGTAGTTAATTAGTATCGTTTTGTATCGTTCGTATGTTCGTCGGTAGTCTTAGAATTGTTGTTGTCGTTGTTGTTATTGTCTTTTGCCTTTGTTGTTGTTAGCTATAGCATATAACAACATCACCCTAATTTCCGCCTAATACTGATATCGGTGTCACTACAGTGATTATGAAGTCTTTCTTGTAAATATAACTATAAATATTATCTAGTTTGTCAGTATATATCTCCTCCTAGTGTAGTATAATACTGTTGTAGGAGTATTTCATTAAAGCATTAAAGCATAGAGAGCTTTAATTTGCCTCAAAATACATAAGAGTTAAGTAAGCATATAATTTCAGAGTACATTAGAAAAGTGTAATAGAATTTCTCGCGAATGATCTCGAAATTAAGTATCTTTAGCCTTCCATTAAATGTTGTAGGTTTAATCCAATTTAAAGATAAATTACTACAAGTATATAGTTCGCCTAAAGTCTCAGTTAACGTATAATTTAACAGTCGGAAACTGAGTTTATATATAGCTATAGTTGTCATCTTCAACCATTCAGGTTTAAACCAATTTAAAGAAAAATTGCTATATATAGGTACAGCATTGTACCTGTAGGCCTATATGCATTAGCCTAAAAATACAACTTACGTAATGTGTAATTTGTAAGTCAATAACTTTCAATAAGTAAAGTCTTCGCAAACAACCGTGAATTTATTTAAGAAGTAAGGAATGGCCGGATAATGGGGGGTCTTCTGGTCGTTGTGTTGTCCCACGTTTTTTATAATGTTCTCCCCACTTCACTTCCGTGCTATTTCACTCTCATGCATGGAGTATTATATCCTATTTAACAAACTTCCTTCACTATTCAACCTCATTAGCTAGGATCCTGGAACACATTACATCGCCTATAAGTAACACTCTAAATAAAAGACTGACTTGCGCGCATGCATGCATGCATGCAGAAAGGAACAGTTACTGATTCATCGACATCGGCAAACATTAATAGTAGGGTCTAGGGAATTTGTAGATAGTGTCAATTTTTACAATTATATTATTGTTTTAGTAAACTCTATCGTAGACTTAGGATTACATGATATACGCAATTCATCTTCAGCAATGATACTACAAAACGGGCCGGCGTCACTGTTATCAACAATAAGCTAGCTAGACTACCACTAGAAGTATCCATACTACACCGTACCACAGGCACAGTAAGTCCATTTTCAAATTCTAAGATTTATACACTGTTAATGCATGAGAAGTGGTAAAATGATCGGTATATCATTGTCGGCTATCAATTTTTACTTATCTGCCTAGACTAAACCGCCTAAATTTAAAATGAAACTCCCCTTCTATTTTATTTTTATTACTTGAAAGATTTAAATACAGCATTGTACATAGCCATTACCCACGCCGTCATACCTCACTCAGGCCCGAAAATAGCGGAGCGCAATTCACCAAACAAGACTGATTACTGCATGCACAAACAAGGCCCGAAAATAGGGAGCGCAATTCACCAAACAAGACTGATTACTGCATGCATATATGCCCTGCAGACATAATCATATTGAGATGCCGTCTTTCCTAAAATAACTTCATGTGTAGCCTATATAGTATCATATAAAACAATAAAAACATTGCTTTCTTTACTCTTTGGTGAAATGATCAGGAATGAATGAATGAATGCTCTTCCATGCAACTGCCACTGAGCTAAAAATTTCTGAGTGCGTATAGGATTCAAATTATTGAATTAATAAGACAAATAGGGAAATACCATGTAAAGCTGTTTAAAAATATGTACATCACAGCATTTAACATCGTGTTTTGTCCTAACTTGTTGACAGTTGACATGCTGTTGTCATTTACATCCATGCATACTTAGCAACAAAATAGTCATGCAGTTCTCAAAATTATTGGCGTGCCATGTCCAATGGACCTTATTTGCATATCACATGAGTAATTTGCATAAAATGTGAAATGCATCATTTGAGGATAATATTCCACGCATGCAGAATGTTTAGGACAGTACAAAGTTTGAGGACAGGATTTGCGAGTGACTTAAGAAACGAAGTGCACAGCCTATACAAACTGTCCATATTTAGTATTTTAACGCAGTTACTGTTAGTTGCTGACGAATGTTTGCATAAAAGCTAAACTTGCAAAGATTTCCAAAAAAAGAAATGTAAGCGTAGTCCATTATGATTACAAGCTATTTTTATCTTTTTACATTTATTGGCAGTATTCTAAATATTTCTGAAACTGTAATTACTTTTCTTTTTCCATTACTGTTGAATGTTTACACAAAAATTAAACTTGCAAGGTTTTAAAAAAAAAGGAGTATTTAAGCTACGGAATTTTATTGTGATTACTGGACTAGATATTTTTATCTTGGTCATTTTTCACATTCCAAAAGTTGCATTAGCTTTGTACATTTCACTTCTTCAATTCAACCAAGGATGATTTCACAAGGTATTCTTATTTAATGCAATCAACACTGCTCGCCTGAGAATACAAGCAATCACTAATTTAATTGCGTTATAATTACAGCAATATGGTGCGTTATTATAGATTAATAAAAGTCCTGAAGTCTGATTATACTGATCAGAGTACTCGCTATATACTTTACTGAACAATTCCAGCACTTGATTTAACTAGTATATATCACTTGCTATCTCAGTAATGCGCATACCCCATTTCAGTTCATTTGTCAAAAAACTGCGAAAAGTGCTTGGAAAAAACTGCTATGTACATGAATCATTTACTTTGCGTGAAGATGTTTACGCTCTGTCTTGCACCCGCGTTGCAAATTCCTGCCAAATAGATAAAATTCCTTGTTTGACGTAGAAAATCCAATGCCCGTCATAAGTGCGATTTATTAGTAGTGGAATACTACTCAGTCTAATCAGGTATATGAACGTGGCCATCTTTCGTTCACCGGTTAAGGCGACTGGGGGTCAATGCCCCGGTAATTAGGGGTTCGGGTGAAGGTATACTCAAAAAAAAGAAAACTGAAAAGTTTAGATACATCTCTTCTTTAATATTGAGGTGGGCGTAACACTGCTTCTCGTTGAAATAGACGTGTTTTCTTTATAACTATAAGTGTTTTGCTGGAACGTTTGTCCAATAGCGTGTTTGTCCAATATCCATAATAGACAAATAAGTATTACTTGTTTTGTACAGTTTTGCCGATTGTACGTGCATCAGGCGGCACAAAATTTATATTATTTTCTACAGACTATATCTTTATAGTCTTTATACGGTCATGCAACATACAAGAACATTTCCACTTACGGCGTTACGCTTCTGTAGTTTGTTGTCATTTTATGTAAATTGTTCTGTTTTCCTGTGGTGACTAGTGGTTACCCAAACTTTTATATGGCGACAAAATTTAGTTGGTTTGTATGTATAAACAAGACGCCTGCTCAGGCGTTCACACTGGCCTGAAAATAACGAGATACGTGCTATGGTGCAAAAGGCAGGAATACAAATCTTAAACCGCAAGCAAATTTTATAGACTTTTTTAAAAAAAAGACCTTTTCGGTCTTAATGGTGCAAATCTAGTACTAGGAGTTACTATAGCAAGGAAAGTACTGCCTTTATGGCGTATGAACTGAATGCAAAAATTTATACTTCTAGACAATTCTCGGTTGTATTATCCCCAATGTTTCCTTCTCGTTTATCATTTAAGCCCGTTCACAAACTCATTTTTAAATTGTGTGCACGGAATACGAGTAAATAGCCAACATGAACATGAAGCCATTGGGTCAAAAGTGGACATTAAGGTCTATTGATTAACTCTTCAGAATTTGCTCAGAGTCAATGTGAGTAAAATACATTTTGTATTCAAGCGCTTTCATGTACAAAGTTTCGTTTGAATACGGCACAGAGTGGGAATATTTATTTTGAATTTTTCAAAATATCGGGTTTTTACTCGCACGCACGTTTATAGCTCGATTGATGCACGTGCAAATCATGCCGACCTACAGAATCGATTTCCGGTTTTTCCTAAACATCGCGTTGTTTTGATCGCCGCGCTAAAAATATAAATATTCTGTAAATACCGAAATAAAAGATAAAAATCCCAAGACACAAGCTTGAAAATAACACTATAAATAGTGTTTTCAATTCTGGTCCCAATAATATTATCACGAAAAAGATATGTCCAAAGGGGCCGAAGTTATGTTCGGCAAAATGTATGGCAAGTTTACATTGTTTGTTATAATGAAATATGATACCATACTTGTATTAAAATTCGCGTCGAACTAAATGTTATTGTATTAGGCAAATGAGTAGACTTGCCACAAGTCGACCTCGAACGAAATGCGTTTCTTCGAGGTCGACTTGTGGCAAATGAGAACCATACAATAATGGTTCTAGTTCTTGTTGGTATTTTGAAGGCACGCTTTATCT